GCTGGGACCAGGGGAGTGATGTGAGGCTAGAACGTGAGCTCTGTGCTGAGCACCTTCTCAGTGACCCCAAGTCCAGCCACCTGGGGCCGGAGCAGAGAGCCCAGGGCTGTGGCCCACTTGGTTCCTCCTCCTGCTGCAGCCCGCCCTCACCCCATCTCCCCCTCACTCCTGCGTAAGATGAAGAGGGACTTGTGAGGCTGCGCCCCTGCCCTGAACACCCTCCCTCATGCCATCCTGGTTCATTTCCTCCCCTCCTTCAGGGGACACCTCAATGGCACCTCCTGACTGCCCGTTTAAAGCAGCCCCTCCCCAGCCCTCTGCAGCCAGGACTCTCCACCGGGCTTTGGTTTAATTTTTTCCCTGGCACTTTTTGCCCTCGGGCACACGTCAGGTTTCCTGCTGTGTTGTGCTCCTGTTTTTCTCCCTCTTCTCCCTCCAGACCACTCTCCGTGTGGGTGGAACCCCAGTTGCTGTTCACTGCTGTCCCTCCAGAGCTCAGGATGGTTCCTGGCAGAGACCACCCGACGCCAAGACGTTCTGAATAAATTAAAGGATGAATGAGTGGGACTGAGCAGAGGGAAGGGTCCCTTGAGTGCCAAGTGAACTTTGGATCCCGAGGCAACACTGGGGGACTCAGGGAAGCCCCGTCCCTCTTAGAGCCTTGGTTTCTTTTTAATATGATGAGGGGCTTGGACCACGTCTCCAGCTCTGATAGGCTGCACTGTGGCCCAGCCCTCGTCACTTGTCTGGAGGGAAGTAGCCTGGTGGATGCAAACTTCAGGGGGTGAAAGGAGGAGTCAGCCGCCTGCCAGGTGCAGGGCCCTAGGGGCAGGAGCCCTTGGAGGGGCTGTGGAGGGGCCCTGGGGCTGGGATGAGGCTGGTGAAAGGAAAGTGATCACAACACTTGAGCGACCAAGAGGTCTTTATTGAATATGATATATCAAGAACTATGTAATGTTTTGAACAACCAATAAAAAAAAAGGTCTTTATTGCAGCCATGCAACAGAGGAGAAAAAGAGAGAGAGAAAGAGCGGGGAAAGAGAGAAGAAAGAGGGGGGCGAGCAAAGAGAGAGAGAGGGGAGGAGAGAGTGAGAGAGAGGGAGAGCAAAAGCAAGAGAAGAAAGAGAGAGCAAGAGCAAGAGAGAGGGACTGGCAGGAGGGAGCTTTTTATAGCCCAAATCTAATGGGGTCTCTGGTCTGCAGGCTGCCTTGTTGGCCTACAGTGATTGGGTCACACAGTGGTGTCATCTTTGGCCTTCAGGCAGACGGGGCAGGGACTAGATGTGGGTTTCCATTGCACCAGACAGGTGGGGGTTGAGTGCTCAGCCTTGAGTGGGGCTGAGTGTTCGGACTTGACACAAACAGGTGATAAAGGACCAGACAGAGGGGGGTTTGAGTGCCTGGGTCATCCTGCAGCTAACATTGGTTCAGCCTGCCCTGCAGACAGCTTAGTTCAGCCTGCCCTGCACCTAACAGCTGGCAATAGTCCCAGGAAGCAGGGGGAAGGGAAGGGGAGAGGAGAGGGAGGGAGAAGCAGAGAAAGAAGCGGGAGGGAGAGGAGAGAGAGGGAGGGGGGAAGGAGAGGGGGAAGGAGAGGAGAGAGAGAAGGGGAGGGAGGGAGAGGGAGGGAGAGGGAGAGGGAGAGAAACAGGGAGGGAGAAGAAGGGAGAGGGAGGGAATGAGCACAGGAGAGCACAGGGTGACAGGAGAAGGGGGCCTGACTTGGTGCCTGAATCTAGGGAAGGGAAGAGAAAAAGGAAAAGGTTGGCCGGATGGGAGCCTTTGAGAATAGAGGGACATGGTACCTCTGGACCTGAGGCCCCGAGCAGTGAGATCCTTTAGCTTTCCTTCATCTAACCCTAGCCCTAACCCTAGCCAGGAAGCAAAAGAGAAGAGCTTCTGGAAGGCCCGAATCCAGTAAAGCAGGACAGTCGTGGATTGACTTCTGAGAGTGTTTAACGTCCAAAGCCCAGGAGTTGAGAAGTGACCTGCCTCCCAAAACACTTCCCCCCCCCCCACACACACACACACGGCCCCCTTCCAGGCCCCAGAGCAAGCAGGGTACAGGGTGAGTGATGTCTTGCTGGGGCAGAACCAGGAGTCTCGAGCGAGCGCTGGGGTGGCTCCTGGACGGCCTCTCCCCAGCTTCTCCCATCTGGGGTCCTCTCCTCTCATGCATCCGTGGAGCCTGCAATGATCCGTGCTCAGCCCTCCCGCCCTGCCGCCCCCCAGCCATCGCCAGGCTCCCCAGCCCACCTGTCAGCATCTGGAGCCAGTGCCCTGGGTTGTCGCCACAGCCCTGCCCGCTGGCTGGAAAGCTCCTCTGCTTCTGGCACCGCCAGGCTGCCACCCAGAGAGCGCCGGCAGTCAGCAGCTTGCTGAGAAAGATGAAGGCCAGGAGGAGGAGGACGGAAGTAGGTGGAAAGGGAGTCTCCCTTGAGAAAGAGAAGGAGGACACTGGGAACCTCGAGGTGGCCTGCAAGCTGGAGTCTCCCCAGAGGGTTGGGGAAAGCTCTCTGCCCAGCACATCCCGGGTGGGGCTGGCCGGGCCTGCACACCACCCTCCCTCCCTGGCCCAACAGCTGTCGGCTGTGCCCGTGGTCTCCTAAGGTGTGTGAGTGTGTGCACACACGCGCACTCAGTGGTTACATGAGCATTTAAACACCGACACTCAGCCATGGACCCGTCAGAAGAGATTCTGGTTCTACCAAAGGGACGGGGACCCAGGAGTCTGGGGCTGGTGCTGCGACTCTCGCTGTTGCTGACCCATGGGGACCTGGGCTGCCAGGGGAGGGGTGGGGGGCTGCCCAGTCAGGCATCGGAGAGCCAAAGAGTGACAGAAGGATTTCAGTCTCCTGTCATTGGCACCGTCACGCCAGACATGCCAGCTGACGGGCAGGGTGTAAACAGGACCTGGGAAACAGGACCTTTCCTGCTCTAATTGTCCTGGAATCTGCGGTCCTGGGACCTCTGTCCCCACCCCGCGTGGGCTCTGCAGCGCGGGAGTCTGCCAGGGTCTGCTCACTGTACCTGGAGATACTGTGCTCCACAGGGACAGCCTCGAAGCTCCCAGACTCCTCGGGGACCCAGAGGTCTTCCGTGTCCTGGTGATCCTGGGGGTCTGCAGGAGACAGAGCTGTCACTTTGCAGCTCTGTCCTCCTTCGGGCCAGCTGCCTTGGTGGGGAGAACCCAGGTGGGGTCAGTGAGGCCCTGGGAGTTCCTGTTCTGCATGGATCAAGTCTCGAACCTCTCTGAACTTCAATTTCTCACCTTGACAGCAGGGCTGTTAGGAACACCTCCTCCCTGCAGGAGTCAGCAGGAGCCACTCTGCGGGGTGTCTAGTGTCACACAGGCACTCAGGGGCTGCCATCCCTCTCTCCATCACACATCCCTCCCTCCCTCCATCCAGATGGAATCGTGGATGGGTTTAAACTGTCGGGCATTCTGCACAAGCAACGGGTTACTATTACTATATCATTTCCTGCCATCCTCTTGGGAATCGACTGAGCCTTAGACCCTGACAGGGCTGGAAATGCACGTTTCTGTGTCCCGACTCCATGAAAGAGAGGGGGGACTGGTGTCCAGGTCTGGCAGCTGCCCCTCCTTAAGGAGATACGTTTGATCCTCATTGATGATAAAGGGCCATACGGGGGTCACTGGAAAAGAGGAGAGTCAAGAAGGGACCTTTGCCCTTCTTTGGGACGCAGCTGTCTGCTAGAGACAGGCAGAAGGGTGGTCCCTGTGCACAGCTCAAGGGTGTCTCTCCCCCTCAGGCCTGAAATGCTAATCTCAAGTCAGTTCAGTGTCAGGAGGTCTGGGGTCGCCAGGACTAATGCCATCATCTCTATATAAACCATCCCCCCCCTTTTTTTTAGCAGTACTGGGGAAAAAACCAGGGCCTCTCACATGCTAAGCAAGCCCTTGCCCACTGAGCTACACTGCCAGCCCCATCATTTCCACTTCAGGATGGGGAAATGGAGGACCAGAGAAGTGAAGCACATTCCCCAGCAAGCATTCCTTTGAGGGTTGTTTTTCTGCACCAGAAAACTTCATCTACGTTGATAAGTTCCTTGGCTGAGTGGACAAGTGAATGGATTAATCTGCTGCCCCTTAAGGTCCACCTGTAGGTGTTCACATGCTAATCAGATGTCAAATGGGTGAAGCAATTTGAGAAAGTAGGGCCAAGGCTAACTCCCACAAATGAATGCAAATTAGAGAGAGATGCCCCGCCTACAGGTAACACAGCCCTGCACCAGGGCACAAGAGGAGTCCCCGCTGGACTTGGCTCCCTTGCACAGTGAGCAGCCTGCAAAACCGTCCATGGGGCTCACACTGTGAGTTTTCCCAGGGACCCTATGGTCCTGAACACAGATGCCCAAAACATGAGGCCTGGCCCCAACAGCCACTCACTCACCTGCCAGCACCTGCACCAGCACCTTCCGGAGCGTGTCGGCCTCACTGCCACGGAGGCTCTGGCACTGGTAGAGGCCAGCGTCGTGGTCTTGAAGATTCCGCAGGGTGATGGTGAGGGTGCCGCCCAGGGCATCGTCCGTGATGGCCGTGCTCCCATTCCACTTCTTGAGGAAGGCCAGCAGCCACAGGCTGTGCGTGCTGACAACGCGCTGGCACGGGCCCTCCTGGTCCAGCTGGCGGCACCAGGCCTTGCGCCGCCCCCAGTGCTTGGTGGAGTCGTAGGGGCAGGAGACCTGCAGGGACTGGCCCGCCACGCCCTGGAGCACTGTGGTGTTGGGGGCTCCGCCCGACTCTGCAGAGGAGACATTCGCTGACTCCTCCATTTATTTACCAAATATTTATTGAACACCTGCTATGTGCAGCGAACCAAATGGACAAAAATTCTGTCCGTAAGGAGCTTGTACAAATGGGGAGGAAGAAACAGGTACCTGGCACAGCCCAGGCATATTTTTGTGGGAATTTGGGAACCGGGAAACCTAGGTCCTGAGGCTGGTTTTCTCACTTTTTGACATGCTGGGCATCCTCAGAGAAGAAACTGGCCCTCTCTGGGCCTCTTTCAGAAACACATGGTTTTTAAAACCCCTCCAGTTCTCTTCTCCACATCTTCTTCCTGTCTTAGGGGACTAGGACCCCTCCTGTCCTGTCTTCATTTCAAGACAGCAGGGCCACTGGCCCCTCAGGCCTGGGGCTGGTTCCCAGTGGGCATGTCCCTCCCTGCCCGGCCGCGTCTGCCTACTCTGTGGTGCCCACTGATACTGCTCCACAGACTCCTCTCTCCTGACCTTGAGCCTGCAGCTTCCCTATTTCTGTGGCTTTGTTCCCCTTTCAGGAAGGACTTGTTTCAAAACTATTTTGGGAGAGGCATGAGGCTGCTATTTTGGGCATCCTCTTTGGGGTAGAGGAGACAGACGTGGAGACCCCGCTTCTTGCCAGGCAGGGGCTACCAGGGAGTCACCGGGAGCCTCCTGCCTGGGCCTCTTTCCTGCCCACCCCCGCCTCCAGCCATTATTGTGTCAGAAAATGGAAAGGTCAGGCCAAGAAGCTGACAACCTGCCTCTTTTGGAACCAGAGACACCAATGCACAGTGGCCCCCCAATGCATCCCCTTTCATCCATCCCTCTGCCTCCAGCCGGGCCACCACGGGCCACCACACACCTCCCTTCCCTCTCCTCCTCCACCAGGAGCTGCGGGAACAGACCCCATCACCTCTCCTCAACCCAGGTTTCCTGCTGCCTTGGGGATCGAGAAGTACCATTCCCCAATGGAAGAGGCCATCATGTGCAAAATTGGGGGTGTCAGTGCCCCCAGCTCGGTGGCCAGGACCCTTATTCCATGCCTTCCATCAAGAGCTGAGGCCAAGGGGACCTTCCAAAGGTGAGAGGGTCCTCTCCGAGATGCAGGTCACAGTTCCGGGCCTTTCCTCCTTCCTTCCCTCTCTCCCTGCCACTCCCTGGAAGCTGGTCTTGTGCTTAAATGGTTCATAATTTTAGGGGCTCCTACCAGTGCCCCCCAAACTTCCCCCGACTGCCAGCCCGTGCCTCAGATGCCACCGTCAGCATTTTCTCCTTCCCATATGACTGGGGGCCAGAAGCCCCTTCAGCCTCCATCCCACCAAGGTGGGCCCATGTGGGTTTGGATCCCGGGGGGGAGGGGCAGGCACGAAGACCCCCGGCAGGTGGGGACGCTGTGCGGAACAGGTCACTTGGGCGAGGCAAGGACTTCCAACTCCTTCCTATTCAGCCCAGTGCCAGCTCCCGGCCTCCACCTAGTCATATGTTCAAGGAAGGGGAGGGAAAGAAGGAATGGGGGGACCTACCTGTGACAAAGAGCAGGAAGAGCAGCCAGAGAGGCTCCATGCCTCCCACCCTGGCCAAGGGCTGCTGTGCCTTGTGCAAGATCTTGTCTTTCCCTTGAGCTGCAGAAAAGAGAGGGACCCACACGTCAGGCGCTGCGCACAGGAAACTGGGCTCCTGGCCATTGAGCAACACCAGGACTGGGGTCTGGCTTCGTGATTCAAGGAGGGGCTGCGTGGGAGGAAGGGGGAGGAGGAGCCCGCACTGCAGCTCGGCTGGAGGAGGTCGGGGATCCCAGACCTCTGAGAAGCCAGCCACCACCGGCCAGTGCCAGCCCCGGTGACAGCACAGGGCTGGGGCCGCTCAGTCAGTCTCCAGGCTGCGCCTAGCCGGGTGGTCACTATGCCCACAGCTGCATGCCAGCCATCTGCATGGAGGAGGACAGCTGCTCCTCTGGGAGGACATGACTCACATTCAGCCCTTCTAGTCCTTCCCCCACCCCGGGCTGGCACCCCAGAATCTGGTAGCCTCTGTGAACATGGACCCAGACTTCCTTCTCCACGTCTGTCCTTCCTTGCTCCTGGTGTCTGCAACCACACACCCAGAACCCCTCCATGCCTCCATCCCCGTATCCGTAAATGAACATGATGATAATCTATGGCGCTGTCGGAGGGTGACATGGATTCCTACAAGTAAAGGGCTTCTGAACAAGGCTCAGGAAGTACAGTACTAACCATAACTATTACCTAGTTAGCAGGAGAACAGGAAAATGGGTTGTCCCCGAGAGGAAGGAGTCTCTCTCTCATCTGAAATGTCCTCAGCGTGGCCTCCTTTGACCAGTGGGTGTTTGCTGCGTGACATGCTCGCACCAGCATTTATTCTATGCACAGGGCATGAGTGAAATCCTGACCATCCAGTGGGAAAGAGTAGGACACGGCACTTCCCGGAGTCCTTGGGTACGGGTGTTTTCCCACAGGTACAGGTTCCTGCAAAGAGTGACCCAGGCTTAGCCAACCTTCTCCTCTCCAATTTTAAGCCCTGGCAACTCCCCCGTTGACTTCTGTCCCTGCAGCCTCCCGCCCTTCTAGAGCACCGTCTGTGTGGAACCACATGTAGCCTTTTGAGTCTGCCTCCTTCACACAGCACAATGCACTCGACATGTGAGAAGCTGTGTTTCTCAGCCATTCATTTCTTTTTATTGCAGAGCCCACCCGTGGCATTCATAAACATGTTTATAAACATGAAAGTCACAGCTTTTTTTTTTCACAACTTTCCCAAACTGGAAATAAACCAAATGTCCATCAGTCAGTAAATGGCTGAAGTCCCTGTTGAGTTCCACTGACCTCCACATCCGTCTCTTTACCAATATCACGCGGTTGCGACTGCCTATTGTAATTTATAGTAAAACCTGAAATCAGGTTGTGGTCCTCCAAAATGGTTTTGACTATTGTAGTTACTTTCGTTTAAATTTTACAACTGGGTTATTGATTTCTACACCCACTCGCGCACACACACACACACCTGCTGGGCTTTCTATTGAAACTGCATTGACTGGCACGGTTTGAGGAGAAACAGACACCTTAGCAAATATTGAGCCTTCTATCCGATGGACAGTTTAGCTCTTCATTCATTCGCTTCTCCTGTCTCAGTGATTTCTAGTCTTCCACATGCAAGTCTAAATCTTAATTGTACCAAAGCATTTCATAATTTTGGTGCTATTTTAAATGTTTCTAGCTTTCTAAATCTTAGAACTCAGAAGTTCCATAAATCTTTATCTCACTTTCTGACCCATTAATACTCCATTCTGGTTCCTTCTCCCACTTCCTTCCTACCCAAGGCAAGGGTCTCTTTTATTCCTTTAAACTCTATAGCAAAGGACAGGCATCAAGAAATATTTACCAGTCACTTGCAGCATGTTCACATCAAACATCCCCTTTTTCTAGTGCATGCTGATTCGTGGTTCCTCTGACCCTCATTTCTGAGTGCGGGAACATTTCTGCACTGTCCTAAGCCAAGCACAGGTTCCTTCCTTTTCCTGCACTAAATCTGGGTCCAAAGACACCTGCCAGCTCACAGCTGGGCACTGAGGCACATCCACTCTATTAGGGACACCCATACCTCACCGTTCACAGATGCGTGCATTCATCCAACCACCATGCATGTGCCGGTCACTGTGCTGGGCAGCTTGGGTCTCTTGGAGCCTTGGTGATCCTAGATACGTTGGTGACTTTGCTGCAGAAAGCCCTAGAAGCTTGGCTAGCACTGACATGGCACGCACAGGACACATGACATATTCCTAATGTCTAACTTCAGCCGAGACCTCAGAGCGGCTGGACAGTCCTTCTCAGAATTCCTGGAGGCTCCCGGGTGAGCTCCCTATGGTGGCTGCTCAGAATCGTGGCTCTCCCCAAACACTCCTCCTCCCTGATCCTCCTCCCCTAGGATCAACCCAGACCATCCTCACCATCTTTCAGATCCTCCATCCTCCTCCCATCCCCACTCCAGCCCATCTGAGCAGCCAGGGAAGCACCAGATTCCTGCCAAGACCACGGCCAGTGCCAATATCGGCACAAGCTGGGGGCCAGTGTGAAACAGCCTCTCAGCGGGAACAACACAGACTCCATCAGGACACACCAGCCCAACCTGGGAGAGCCCCTGCCAGCCCTGCCTGAGACGTGGACCTGAGGGGGTGGTTGGTGGAGTCCACTCCACCATTGACTGAGGCCACCAGCCACAAACATCAGAGCCCACCGGTGGCATTCATGATCGGCGGCCACATAAGGCTTCCCTTTCCCACTTTCCTCTTTGACCTCGCCCTGCTTTTGTTTGATCTCACCATCCTGGATTCACACCCCTGGCCTCAAGTGCCAGTCTATGACCCTCCTCTGATGCCTCTGACGGCCCCCTCCTCCCACCTCTCTGTCTCTCCACCACCGTTCTCTGACAATTCTGCCTCAGGTGGTTCTTCTTTTCTTAGATCTGATATTTTTCTAAGTTGAGGATCTCAGTCCTGCTCAGGGCAGAGCATCTCTCACAGGGATCAAAGAGAGAAAGAGGGAGAATGTGGCTAGAAGGTGGGGGTCGGGGTGGGGGTGGGAAGGGGTTAGGTCACAGGCAGGGGGACAGCAGCCAGCAGGCCCCAGAAGCAGTGACATAGGATTGTCAGCCCGGAAGGACATTCTGGTGGAGGACACAGGAAATGAGAGACAGAGGCTTAACGTGGCATGAGCCACTGTAGAGATCCCTGGGCCGAGGTCCAGTCACGGTGGGGCCTCAGATGACATCCTCATCTGCCATTTGATTGAATCAGAACTGGACAAGTCCTGGCCATGTCAGAGAGAATGCACACCCAGCACAGGGGGCAAAGTGTGGGGACAGGAAGACGGGGTGGGACAGAAATTGGAAATACAGAATCGGGGTTAAGCGCGTGGCTTGCGCTTCACACAGATCTGGGCTTAAACCTAGTTCTGTATTAATGCGGCCCGGGGCAAGCCTCTTAACACTGAATTTTACTATCTGGGTTTGTAACGCTGTGGCAAAAATAAAAAAAATAAAAGATGAATAAAAAAATTAAGAAAAGACTAGATGTAGTGGTGTGCACATGTGATCCTGGCAACTTGGGAGGCTGAGGCGGGAGGATGGGGAGTTCAAGGACAGCCTGAGCAACTTAGTGAGAAATGAAAAGGGCTGAAAAATGTAGCTCAGTGGTAGAGAACCCCTGGGTTCCATTCCCAATACCAAAATAATAATAATAGTAATAATAATAGTTGTTATGATTTTCCTTCCACTTCAGTGTATTTCTTTCTAAAATCTTCCCCCCACCCTAGTCCATTTTTCTCTTCCCAGATGACAGTTCCCTCGAGCCCTGATGGTCCCCAGCCACACACTTTCTCACCTATGCCCTCTCTTCCAGGGTTTCCCATTTCTCCCTTCCCAACTGCACCTCCACCTTCACAAGGTCTGGTCTCCTCTGTCCTGAAATCTCCACGTGTGCCTCCACCTCCCCTCCAGGGCCTACCCTCCCACGCCTTGCTCCCAGGGACGTTCTGAGGCCTCCATCTCCACTCCCTCTCGACCACACACTTCTTTCAAAAAATATTTTTCAACTTTTTTTTTTTTTATTGTGCATCATTTAAAACATATTCGAACACAGATTGAATACTATAATAAATCCCCTTGGCCAATCACCCACTTTCAACAACAGCATCACTATGTCGGATCTTGGGTGATTCTCCCTTCCTCACGTATTATTTTGAAGTGAATCCTATCTATTGTGTCATTTTATCCATAGGTATCATAGTTATGGATGAAATGCTAAAGTGACTCTTTTTAACTATCTAATAGAAGAAAAAGTAGGCCCAAATCTTCATCGTGTCAGATTAGGCCCCGACATCCTTAACAAGACTCCTGTAGCACAAGAAATAAAATCAAGAATCAGTAAATGGAATGGACTCAAACTAAAAAGCTTCTCAGCAAAAGAAACAATCGGTGAGATGAAGAGAGAGCCTACATTTGGGGAGCAAATTTTTGCCACATGCACATCAGACAGAGCACTAATCTCCAGGATATATAAAGAATTCAAAAAAACTCAACACCAAAAACACAAAACAAATAACCCAATCAATAAATAGGTTAAGGAACTGAACGGACACTTCTCAGAAAAAAGATATACAATTGATCAACAAATATATGAAAAAAAGTTCGACATCTCTAGCAATTAGAGAAATGCCAATCAAAACTAAGAGTTCAACTCACTCGAGTCAGAATGGCAATTATTAAGCATACAAGCAACAATAAGTGTTGGCGAGGATGTGGGGAAAAGGCACACTCATACATTGCTGGTGAGACTATAAATTGGTGCAACCAATCTGGAAAGCAGTATGGAGATTCCCTAGAAAACTTGGAATAGAACCACTATTTAACCAGCTATCTCTCTCCTGGGTCTATACCCAAAGCACTTAAAAACAATATACTACAGTGATGCAGTCACATCAATGTTTATAGCAGCTCAATTCACAATAGCTAAATTGTAGAACCAACCAAGATGCCCTTCAATAGACGAATAGGTAAAGAAACTGTGGTACGTATACATAATGGAATATTAATCAGCATTAAAAGAGAATATCATGCTAAGCGAAGTAAGCTAATCCAAAACAAACAAACAAACAAAGGCCAAAGGT